ATATAGTGCATGCTCAGAAACCTGCACGTCTATCCATGCGAGGAGAAGCCACACCAACTGCCACCCCCATGAAATCTCCACAAGGTCTATCTAGTCCAACAAGTAAGTTGATTTCAAGAATCACTATACTCTTTATTCTCCCACAAAACGTTACTCTTACAATACAAAGGAAAAGACATTATAAAAAATCAAGCACCGTTCATTTCTCTAAAGTTTTATACAATTTAAAATAAATTAACAAAAAAAATCCAATGATTGGAGAAAAATACAATATTTGAAAAATTGAAAAAAAATTTTTCACTACATGATCAGTCATGTACTGAAATAAGGTAGATCGTCGTTCAAAGGATTCAATTGTTTCCTTGGACCAGCTGGACAAGTCTCTCCGTATTCGTCTATGAATTTGCAAGCCTCCACGATTCTCAGGGTTTCGTCAACGGAACGCGAGAGTGATATCTTACTAATTGCAACGTGTCGAATCAATTGTTTCTTGTCGATGATAAATAAACCCTTCAGGCATATTCCTTCCTTTTCATCGAGCACCCCGTATAGTCTCGATACTTCGTGACTTTTGTCTGATAAAACAGCAATTCTCATTTCACCCAGGGCACCCTGCTTCCGGGGTGTAATAATCCACGCTAGATGAGAGTACTGTGAGTCCGTGGAAATCGCTATCACTTCGCAGTCTATTTGTAGTTCGGAGCAAAGTTGTTGGAAAGGAAGAATGACGATATTTTGTGCATTTATTGATAATAATTATATTAGAATAAAAAAAGAAATGAGAAGGAAATGGGAAAATGTTTAATATAAAAAGTGTAAATTACTTAAAGGAAAATTAATAATGTTATGATTATTTATGTCTTCAAACTGATTTCTGGATCAGTGTTAAACATAAGAGGCATGAAATAAATAGTATACCTGATTTTTTAAACTCCTCTATACGATCGCTAAATTGTATCATTTCCGAGGGACAGATAAATGTAAAATCATAGGGGTAGAAGAGCAGTATCAAGTATTTTCCTTTAAAATCCTTCAGAGATATATTTTTAATTTTTAAATCAACTATCGCGATTCCTGACCAAGGAAGCGCAGGGCTTCCCAGTGCTGGTACTTTGTGCACTTCCGGTTCGCGCGGCTTCTGCGGTTCACCGCCGCAACAGAAATTGTTGTTCTCCACCTTGCTCTTTAAAAAGAAATCGAAAGTTGTCATACTGCTATGGATTACAAAAAGAACGTATAAACATTAGTACTTTATTATACATATAAATGTGAATATTAGCGAGTATCGTTTCTAATAATTGAAACAAAAGATGAATTGGGAACGAAATTCGTTGAATCGATCAATTTAGGATATTTTCTTTTTGAAAATCCTTCAATCTCATATTGTACACATAATATACCTCAGCAGCAAAAATGTATAAATTTCTCCAACATACAAGTTCTAGCAAAATAGAAAAGCTTCCTATCCAAAGTAGAATATGCACGATGATTCATAAATCACTTTACTATTGAAAAATGGTATAAATGTTTTTCAAATTCTGCAACAAAATTTTTTAAAACACGTAATAAAAAAAACGTTATTCAATTTTGAAATGGTAAAGTGATTTATGTGTCACCGTACGCAGTCATAATATTGTATTTCTCTTAGAATAAGGTCTGACAAATACAATTATCTCACTTTTCTAATCTTTCCTGTCACTAAAAATTCTCTTACGAAAATATATTAAGATATCAATATCTTTAACCTGTTAACTGAGTTCATCTCTCAAACAGAGATTGAATCGTTCTGGTCCCTAAATAAAAATAAGGTAAAATTATAATCAGTTACATTATTTTGGTTGTTGCGAATGTGAATATGATGCGTTTTATATTTAACACAGGCATAACGGTACAATTAAAAATGAACAATCCTTCCATAAATAAATTACCCTGTTCTAAGTATTGATTAACTCGTCTTCCGCAGTTAACAGGTTAAACGCGAAGACAAGCATTCCTAATCGTTTCTCCTATTAAAAATTACATTTAAAAATGTGCATAAAATGCGTGTAAAACACACAGAAAAGAAAATTTACATTGAGTAATCATAAACGTATAATTCTTTTGCCAGATCTTAATATTTTCCTGGAAAAAAAAAGTTTACCATTAGAAGACAGATCTTGCATGAGCATGTTGCATGAGCAGCAATAAAAGAAAAGAGAAGTTAACTTAACGACCCCTCGCCAACCCTCCACACCTCACACCCCTGACCAAGCAATTCCAAATAAACTAAGCTGTGACGTGTAAGTAGCTAATAAACGCCGTGTGTGTTGCGTGTGTCGTGTTGAAAGCTCCGAAAGGTGGAAGCGGTTCCGAGTCTGGTACATTAAGACGTAAGGAACGTAGTCGAAGCAAGTCGCCGTTCCGGAGCTTCCGTTGGAGAAAATCCGCCAAGTCACCGAGTTTAGACCGCAGTGGCGTGAGTGATGATGAACGCAGCATTTCCGGTAAGCATTTCCATATATATTGGACCCACATTGGAGCTTTGTCACAACCGTAACACAAACGCACCCACCATTTTTCAGAATCTGCCGACAAGAGAGTAATTTTAATCGATATTTAATTCATTTCACTCCATTAGTAATAATAATAATAATAATGATGATGATGATGATGATAATGATAGAATTAACATGAATTAATCATTTATAAATATTGATATATTAATCGATGTTTTATCGTACAGGTAATAAAGAAAGAGCCTCTGGTGTATGAAGTCATTTCCGGTGTTCTTGAACCGTTAATGTCTTTCTGTCTTTTAATGTTTTATCGTACAGGTAATAAAGAAAGAGCCAAGAAAGGTGTTCTTGAACCGTTAATGTCTTTCTGTCTTTTCAGCCACGTTGGATATATAACAGGAAGCGTTCCCTTAATTTCCTGTGTGTGTATGCGTATGATGAACGTTGAATGAAATGTCTGGAATCTGGGGTATGACAATATTAACATATCGTATGCATCCTACTAAACACACGTGATCAGAATCGCGTGCGTAATTGGTATCGTATACAGTGAACGCGTGTTGTATACGTTTGGGTGGCAGAACTGCATTCCACAGCATCGTCTAACGTCTATTCTGATTAACTGTTCAGGTCTTCCTATTCGAAAGGATTTCTTGCAGTGAATGTATAATTATGTTTGCAGTTGTGTCTTGTACGTTTTGAAGGATGTAACGTAGATTATTCTATACTTCTTCTCCTCTTATTCTTCATTCTTCTTGTAGCATAGTTCCGTTGACTTTGAATCATTGCTCAGTCCTTACTTTAACTTATTGTTCAATATTGCAGAACAACGAAGTCCCACCGATGACGAATTCGAGGGCGTGTTGCAACGAAAGCACGAATGGGAAAGTACAACGAAGAAGGCGTCCAATCGGTCCTGGAATAAGGTGTACATGGTCGTTCGTGGACAGAGCTTGTTTGTCTATACGGACCAGAAATCGTACAAGGCGACGCCTGACCAACCGTACAAGGGAGAATCTCCTCTGGACCTTAGAGGGGCGACCATTACCGTGGCGAATGATTATACTAAGAAGAAACATGTCTTCCGAGTAAAGTGAGTCCCTCTCTGCCTCCAATGGGGAAGAATGAGGAGTTAAATAAGAGTTTGACCTTCACTCTGACATTGAAGTAGTAAAGTGTACTAGAAATGGTCGGGTAAAGAGTGAGGTCTCTCATAAATACCAATTGACTACACTGTTTTAAAAAAACAGTGGATGCAATTCTTTTTGCTATTCTTCTCCTCCAATAATGAATGTCGTCTAATTGTGCTGGTGATTATGAAAGCGGCCTAAGTCATATACTTTTCGTTTCGAGATATTTAGATTTTTCTTTTCCTTTCAATATCCGACTATTTTGAAAAAAACAATATATTTTGAAAAATTTAGTTATTTTAGATTTCTATCAATATGCAGTTAAATTGTTATATGTAATGATATGACAAGAGAACTCGTTGAAATTCGACGTTTTTTTAGGTCGCAAAGCGGATCCGACTTCCTATTCCAGGCTAAAGACGATGCTGAAATGAACGAATGGGTGACCGTCTTAAACCAAGCTGCACAGGGCGCATCAGGTGCGGGCACGTCCAGGGCGCACACATTACCAGCGTCCACACAAGCCGAGACTAAGCGGCGTAGTTTCTTCACTCTCAAGAAAAAGTGAGTCTTCTCTCGTTAGAAGTATCTGAAAAGTTCCAAAACGAAAAAGACGGTAATAAAAGACCCCAGAGACCGCGTACGATGAGTATTATTCACGGTGACGCCAACATATCACGTGAAGTAAAAAAAAGGAAAAAGAGAAAGAAAGAAAAAAGAAATTCATGGAATTAGCTGAATACTTTGTTGTTCGAATCTTATTTTTTCTCTCTAATCATCGTTCATCTTAGATCTCTATTACACTCTGTTTCATGAAAAGAAACTTCTCATTATTCATGTCATTTTTCATATACTTTTCTTCATGCTGATGATTGTAAAATTAATTTTTGTTCGTTTATTTATTAAGAGTGCTGTATCAATTGTTAACGTGACCATTGTTATAGATAAGCATTGTTAATTGATCGTGTAAGGTTACGATTTTACAGGGTGACCCGATACATATATACAGTTATGTGCATTAATATCCGGCCACTTCACACACACACACACACGCGCACACGCACACGCGCGCACACACACACGCACACACGCACACACGCACACACACCGTTTGATCCAATTTAAAAAAAGTTATACTGTTCTAAAGAGTAGCCGGATATTAACCCTTTGAGTGCTTTGGACGCATATATGCGTCCAGCGAAAGCTATCTGTGTAGACTAAGGACGCATATATGCGTTTATCAATTTTTTCAACCTCCCCCGCGCTTGAGATACTTTTATCAGTGTATGAAATGATACATGTGCATTCAGCATTTAGCAACAACAATAAACAAAAAAATGAAAGTCCGTTTATCTTCTGTATGCTTCGCGGAGAGTCGTAATTCTTATTACACCACGAGAGTTGTGATTGCGAATAATATTTATTGCATCGCAAGAAATCGCGACGAACCCTCGGTCTGGCGGATTATCATCATAAAATTGTTCAGTTACATTTGGTTCAATCAACATAGTTCACATTAGCAAAAAAAAGTATTCCGTCCCTAACGATCGCAACCGCTAGGCGTGTGCCGTCCACGCGGATTGCTTCCGCCGGGAGTATTCAGCACTCAAAAGGTTAATGTGCGCAACTGTATGTATATTTATGTGTATCTATTGACCTGGACATTTTTTTTTGGTATTTTCCTTTCTTTTTTTGCATTAACTGTCCAATGATCTAATTTTTCGATAGCCTCCCTCCGTCATCTGTATCTCTGAAAACCTAATGAAGCTCCGATTTAAAGGAGCATTTCCAATGGTGTAGGTATAAAACAGACCATTTTTACCATTTTTGCTTCTATTCCTTTTGTTTTTGAGTTTTATTGATTCATCGTTATACGAGTGGCAGATGATCACCTCGGAGCATGCGTAACTATTGAATATACGCGACGATTCATAACTTATAAGTACTCGAGGTTTTCCCATGTCATTCTTTCCATCACGTACGTTTTAATAGCGCTGGCAGACATTTCCATTTCATTCGATCACATTTTGCATTTATCATATTTTTAGAAAAGCCAAAAAGTAGAAAGTGTGAAACCAAAGAAACTGTAAGAATACAGTACACAATTGGAACAACATTTAGAGAGATTGCGGTGAGTCGCACAAACAATCATTAGATCATTAACGTCGTACTGCTGCACGATTTTCATTGATCATCATCGTTTATATTACCAGTTGTATTCTTCTACTCTCCTTTCGTTGACACCTTTTTGTTCCACAATTTACTTTTTTTTCTTTTTTTTTTGGTACTTACGTTTCATTATGATTAGCATATATCTTGAGAAGTACAAGAGGAATGTTCTTCCAATTGTGAATGCGGAATGATACATTATATACCGAGGATTCTCCGCAAAACAGGAGAACTTTGTATGTGCAGTGCTTAACTGTGTTTCATATGTGCGTTTTAGAAGGTTCCTTTGATAACGTTTAAGTCGCTAATTACAGTCATCTCGTTATCCGTTAGGTGTATATACATATACATATACATACATACATACATACATACATACATATGTGTGTATATGTATATATAGTATTATAACTAATACAATTGTCAATGGTTGACTTTGACACATTACTACTTGAAGTAAAGTAAAAATTCTCGATCATTGTAATGGAAAAAAAAATAACAAATTGACAATTTTTACTTTACTTTCTGAAAACTTTCTTGATTCTAGAAGAGATACTATCCTAAATAAAAGTAAAAGAACTAGTGAAATCTACGTATAATTGAGCGTTGAAAGATACTTCAAAGTTGCACATCTCGATATTAGCAAATTATTAAACATTATGTACTCGAAGGTTATAAAACTTTCAGACATAAGTGTCACTTGAATATAAATGTGTATGGATCATGAGAAGATTGAAAGAAGACTGATGGCAAAGTTCAAAAAAAGAGAATATCGCTTACTACTAAAGGACGGTTTTAATTTCATAGTTTATTTATCAGCGGATCAACGAATAGCGATGGGTGATTGTACACCCTAGCAAAAGCAACTGTACTTTAGCGACAAAACATTTCCAGACATCATAACTTATATAATACTTGGCATAATCTATATGATACAATTTGAATAGAAAAAAGGAAAAATATGAAACACAATCATTTTAATCGTGTCACCAACCAAGCTCAGTTTCACAGGCGCTTCTTATTCGCATTTTTCATTGCTTATTTCATAAAACGTTTCGTTTTCGTTCGCTCTAGTATGATGTATTATTATAATTATTATTACTATCATCATCATCATCATCATCATCATCATCATCATCATCATCATCATCATCATCATCATCATCATCATCATCATCATCATCATCATCATCATCATCATCATCATCATCATCATCATCATCATCATCATCATCATATATGCGTAGACACACATGATTTATTGTATATCATTGTTGGATTATATTGTGGCCATCCTTTTGTCATTGCTTCTCTATTCGTTGTACAGGGTGTCCCAGGTTGTAATGGCCAAACGTTGTCAGTATATTCTACGGGTCGAAATAAAAAAAAAATGTTATCCAAACATAGGTCTTTTAGAGCTTCGTTAAAAAGTTATGGTGGTAATACGAAATGAAGGAAACAATAGCAGACTCACGGTTGCTGCAATGTGATGCAGAAATAGATCATCAATATTTACGTTTACTCTGTTTATGCAAGAAGCAACTAATATTCCATTTAAAAAATGTCCACCGTTTATAACAATGCAAGATTGACATCAGAAAATATCAGAAGACATCAGATAACAGAATTTATTACTCTGCGAATTTCGTTATTATTTTGTTTCATTTCAGTAAATGCATCGTTGATTTTTTGTATCAATTCATTGCGCGATCTTGTAATATCGCGCAAATAGTGATGATCTATTTCTGTATTACATCGCAGTAACCGTGAGTCTGCTATTGTTTCCTTCATTTCGTATTCCCGCCATAACTTTTTAACGAAGCTCTAAAAGACCCTACATATGTTTGTATAACATTTTTTTTTTATTTCGACCCATAGAATATACTGACAACGTTTGGCCATTAAAACCTGGGACTCCCTGTATATCATCATATATCATTTGTTCACGCTTCTTTGTTGGTAAAGGAAAAAAAAAGTAACTCTCAGTGAGAATCATCCTCGTTTTTAGTAAGACATAATATTATATTCTACAAAATTTTTTGCCCTTCAAAACTGTTGGAGGTTAATCTTGGTTTTACACGCGACACTCGGACGCGTGCAGCTCCTAAAAGACGGAGCTGATTCATGCATATTTACTTTAATTGTCCAGATTTGTGTGTAGCATCCGTATTTGCCCGATGTCAGACCTTGAGCGATAGTATAGCATTCACTTAGCAGCATCAAAAGATATTTTTGAGACGTAGTTATGTTCTCTCCGTATCTACAGAGTGGTCCATTTCAACCTGTCCATTTTATTTTTACTTAGCACTAAGCAAAAGTTATGTCAAGTTACGCCGAGAAAAATTTAGAGGGAGGAAAATGGATAAAGATAAAAATGGACTGCGCTGTAAATCTTTCCTTCTGGATAATCCCACACATATTTCCGTTCGTCAGTACCGTGAATCATAAGTTTCAAAGAGGCTAGAGCGCTATTGTTCCTTGTTTCACACATTTTAGAATTATCAGTAGATTATCTGATGACACTTTCGTTTTTTTTCCTTTTTTTTTTTTGCTAATAGTGGATTAGCTTTGAAACTTTCAAATTACATACACCTTAATATCTCCCTTATTCAAACATGTATTAAATCTGTTTGAATTTTTGTCAGCCATATTGTTAAAGATTTAGAAAAAAAAAAGAAGACAGAAGATGGCGCGTTAGCTCTACGCCTAGTCAAATAAGAGATTGCCATCCAAATGTCGAAGAGACACAACACATCAACCCCCTCCTACATACACACAGTGCGTTATAAAACACTCTTTTAATTTAACGTTTGCTTTGTTTGCCAATTTTCAGCTAAACCGGAGCAGTGAAGTTCGGTATAAGCCGCTCAGCACAACACACACAGTTTTAAAGAAATGTTTCGTCGCTCTGCGTGGTAACAAACAAACAAATAATGCAACGCTAACTATAAACAAAGATTAGGAGACATACACATGGAATATGGTGTATACAAAAAAGAAAAAGAAAAAATGAAATTGAAGGAAGACTACTTGCTATAGAGAACCCGTATCATGTTTCACGAAACACGCCTATCATCTCTTCGACTTCCACTAACCGCCACGGGGAAAAAAGAAAAGATAAAGAAAAAAAGAGAATATATATATAT